GGGATCTAAGGACCGCGGACGACAAACTCACCTAGATAATCAAGGACATATTTTAGTCTCAACTAACCCCGAAGGGACGGTTTCCGCCTCGCCAGACCCCTCGGGCACGAGCCCCGTGTCGCCCGACCCAGAGGGCACGGGCTCCGTCTCGCCCGACCCCTCGGGCACGGGCCCCGTATCGCCCAACCCCGAGGGTATGGGAGCCATCTCACCAAACCCCTCGGGCATAGGCCCTATGTCGACCGACCTCGAGGGTATGGGAGCCATCTCATCCGACCCTAAGGGCACGACCCCTCGGGCACGGGCCCCGTGTCCCGCGACCCCGAGGGTACGGGAGCCGTCTCGCCTGACTCTGAGGGCACAGGCTCCGTCTCGCACGACGGGGACCCATACCGTTTTCATCTACTATGGGTCTAAGGGTACGACCTCGGGGTCAAACTTCTGATACCGGGAGAGAAGCGGGCACGTCTTGATGTGACCCGTGGCCACGTCAGGCCATGCCCGGGGGTTCGCATCGCCAACAGTGACGTGTGTGTGGTCGCTATGCTGCCTAATCTTCGTACGGCCGCTGACAGGCACGCCAGTTCACCATGCCGTCCACTGGGACGAGATAGGACGCCACGACCAGCTGATGACGTCGGGGCATGGCACCAGTGGTGAACAGGAGCCCGACGTGGAGCCATCCCCGTCACCATCTACAGCGTCGGCGGGACCCGCATGAAGAAAAAGAAGGACGCGACGGCCCTGGAGGCCTTCTTCTCTCTCGCTTTTCCCCTTTCCTCTCTCTCTCCCCCTATAACATGCGCCTTCCCCTTCACCTATAAAAGGCAAAGCAGGACGCTCCATGAGAGGGGGGCACACAGCTGAACAAACTCTCAGCACTCTTCAATCCTTCCACTAGAGACCTGGGATCTGCTCTCTCTCTCGCCCATTTGTAACCCCTACTATAAACTAGTATCGTAACACGAGCAGCAGCAGACTGGACGTAGGGACATTCCGCCCGAACCGATATAAATCCTTGTGTCCTCTGAGCACACCATCCAAGCTAGACGCGCAGATACAGATTTACTAGCCGGTGATCCGAAACACCAACAATACGTCTCTAATAACTAGGTTTATTATAAAAATATATTTCATAGCTAATTTAATGGTACTTAGTGGTATATGTATATAATAAGTTATTGTAGTGTGTACTCGTTAGGTTGGCAGGTAAATGAAAAAAAAGTGCAAAACAGACGAACATTGTGTCGATATATAATCATCAGGATGGCTGGCCTTAGAAGATTAATGTAAATGACATAGGCATATAATGCAAATACCACCTGGGCAACACAGAACAGGCGTAGGCATTTTCATTTGAACGGCTCCGGCAAATTCTCTTTGCTCTGCTTCCTTCTTTCAGGTTGCTACTAAGGAGCATATGGATCCTATAGAGGCGGAAGCACAGGCTTTGCTGCTAGGTGCCAAGCTAGCAAGGGCTCTGAATCTACAGGATGTCAATTTTCTTATAGATAATGAAGTAGTACTTGCTAGAGCTGCTCAAGCTAGTTCTCCATGTTTTCATCCAGGACACTGGTCCATCAGACCACACTTGCTCTACTTGCAAAAATCACACAAGGAATGAAATATTTGATAATCAAGATTAGAAGAGAAAGCAATGGGGTTACAAACAAGCTAGCAACAACAAGCAAGAATAGTTGATATTCTAAGGCCCCGTTTGGCTGGGCTTCTCCATTGGCTTCACAAGCCGTTTTATGCCAAACGGGGTAAAATAAAACGGTTTCATCCAGAAAGTATGGTCTGATATACAAAAATACAAACGTGGAAGAACTCAATATTTTTGTAGTGCGGGCACAAGTAGCACCATTTTCAACCTATTCGGCTGAGGCTGAAACGATCGTATACGATCGTGGATTATTACTGCGGATTGGTTTGGTGCGAGAGAAAAATATTGTTTTGACTAAAATTTTACGATCGTTTAGGACCAAACGAACATGCCGTTTCTCTTTTTGTTTTCCCATAATATTTACTGGGCACTAGACAGATGGTTCCACACTTCCACTCGATCATCAAACCGGTGAGCTGACGCCAGTTACATCACATGCCCATATGGATCTGTACCAGCCTCGTAACCAATGTTTTAAATCTTCGGTTAAGACATTTAGCGATCGACCTCAAGAAACAACAAATAGCCAATTATAGCGGCAGGTAACAGCTAATAAATTATACATAAAAATAGCTAAATCCTCCTCAAACTACTATAGCTGGAGATTTAGAGCCTTGTCATAGTCAGGATCTATCCTCAACTTCCAAGTAAAGCTATCACTATACCAAACTAAGTGTGAGTATCGTGGTTTATATTCTTGATCATCATTCAATGGCCATCTCATGGAAGGCAGGCAGATAATCACCGTCCTTGATCTAAAGTTGTTGCTTGTAAGTATTGATCTTAATTAATTCCATGACTATGCTCAAGAAAGACACAAAATGAATCATTGTTAAACTGAGAAGGCAAATATTAACAAATACGTACAACTTAGCTCAACCGTCATGCCTTCGTTGATAGGATAGGATAACACGGAAAAGTTGTAACTTGTAAGTATTTATTTATATAAAAATATTACCATCGGTGACTAGTAGAGGCAAACGTGGCAAGCCAGAAGCCACAACCACAATCATGATAATGAGGAGATGGACACCCTCAAGAAATTAAACGCCGTGCTAGTATTGGTAGCCAACAACCAAACTATAAATAAAAGTGGGTTGGTCCCTCACTCTGATCTTTCTGCATATAAACTAAAAGAACACCCTGCGCGCTGCTGCGAGAACTGCCAACAACCAAACTATAAAAGTGGATTGGTCCCTTCCTCTTGATCTTTTTGCATATACACCAGAAGAACACCCCATGCGTTGATGCGGGAACTACTGATTTGGAATAAAATTTAACTATTTATATAATTCTTAGAAAGAGATTAACTATTAATTATAAATTAATGTTAGTGAATAGCGTGGCACGCTGATGTGGATAACTAAATGTATGTTAGTGGATGATGTGTCTCGCTGATATGGATATCATAATTGCTTGTGTTAGTGGGCTTCAATTTCAAGTGATAGTGGACTGCTGAGGTGTACATTTTATATGTCAAGATAATATTCTAGTGAAGTTTAGAATTATAAGAGATAGGGGTTTAGAATTATAAGAGATATAGATATATGTGTAAGGACGAGAGTTTATTAAACAACACACCCAAACAAGACTAGACAATATGCATCATATCGAGGGAATTAAGATGGCAGGAATTTATTTATATTAGTGGTCCTGGATCGCCTGTCCAAACTTTAAGCTAGTGCTTCATTCTCATTTAACAAGGTGTCATCTAATCAAATTTATTTGATGAGACGAAAGAAACAAAGTTTCATTTTAGTGAGAGCAAGGCTAATAATATATCGTACAGTCCACTCTTCTCCCTCGTCTTTTCTCCTCTCTCCCTCGTACATCAACAGAAGGCCTACGTACAACTCTTTATTAAAACTTATCACTTTGAAAGTCATGGACACCACTGTTTCCAACTTTAGAGGTGTCATAAAATCAAATGCAACGAGTGCATACGAGACGTAAAAGCTGAAGGTTGCTTCAACCACCAGAATCGACGTGGCAAACTCGGAAACAACAAATGAAACTATGCGCGTGGCCTAATAAATAACTGAGGCATCACACTGGTACACTGGTAGGTGTCCGATCCAATCACGGAATCTACAGTACTGTAGGTCCGGTGCAACTATCATCGTCGGCGAGGACATGCATCATGCATGTGATGTGTCCATCTCTTCCACGCTGCAGACCTGCGGTTGTGCACTTGTGCCTGCCTCTGTCCAAAATAAATACATTTCTTCTGACATTTAAAACTTATTCCAAAATAAATATATTTATAGATATAATCCACTTAGTTGCAGTAGGTTCTTTTTTTTACTTTCTTTATTTCTTAAGTACAATCATTATATGCTGAAATAGTTTTGATAATAATAAATATGTAACTTTTTAAGTAACATTGACCTCCAATAAAAATTCTAGAAGTATACTTATTTTGAGATAAAAGGAGTACAATAGTACTATAGTAAAGCAGTAGCATGGCATACAAGTTGGTTACTGTAGTACTGTGGCAGCTTCGATGGAGTTGGATCAGCACGGGGTACTGCAGTCATGTCAGTGTCGTCGTCACCACTGGACTCCATCCATCAATGATATCAGTAAATGCAATGAGACGCGAGGACCGCGCGTAGCAGGAGCCTGTGGCTTGCTCGCCGCTCATCCCTCGCCTTGTAGATTTATTCTCTGTTAATAATTTGTGTCTGTATCTGAACAGATTCTACGGCTCTACTTAAGATGAGAGCCCAAACAAAAAAATGCAATGAGATTCAATGGCACCCACAGGCAGAGGCCGGCACAAGGTGGCAGCTCACAATCACAGCTCAGGCATTCATTCGGTCCTAGGCGCGGTGCGAGCGGAGTCCTGAAGCGAAATCCCGGTCCATGTTCAGTAATCTGAAGGCGGTGACAGCAAAAAATTGAGCCCTTGATTAGTTGGGTGAATTTGAGCCCTTGTTTAGTTGGATGAATTTAGATTTTAAGGCTACTATAGCATGTTCGTTTTTATTTTGGCTCTCGTAATTTCCCACCAAACTACGTTATGTAATTAGTTTTATTTTCGTCTACTCACTTGCTGGAAGTAGGTGACAACAAAAACGAATCAATATACACTGGCTCTCCTCACTTGCTGGAAGTAGGTGACAACAAAAACGAATCAAGTACTCTCTTGCCTTTCCAAAAAGAAACAAGAACAAGAACAAAACTCTTTACAACCAAGCAACCAGCTTCAGTCACAGCAGCCAACCAGGCACTGTTGTTACAAAATACTACTACGAGGCTGGCTGGCCGGGAGATTCCTCTCCGCCCCAAATGCAAATGCAAATGCAAATGCTACCTCTGCCTTCACTCACGGTCACGGATTGAAATAGCCTGAGCCGCCGAGGTTGGATGACACCAGCACCATCACACTCGTTATGGCCGCCAGCCACACCAGAGCCGTATCTGCAGGACCAGCCAACCAACGTCAGAAAAACCAAGCAGATACTCTACCACGATAAGCAAATCAAGCAGAAAAGCGCACACAACACAACATTAGCTTCACCTGTGGAGCTGTTTGACACAGTGGATGCTTCTGTATCAGCCGCCCCCGCACTAGTGCTAGTAGAGGTGACGACTCTGTCAGTGCTTTCTGGTCCACTGCCCGCCTGCTCGCCTTCTCTCGATGAGCTTCCAGTTTCAGATGACACTATGCCTTGGAACTCCTCGCTCACCAGCAGCGCGGCGAGGAGATCCATGAAAGTTTCTCTTTCTTTACCTACGAAATCACTACCCTTGCTCATGCCACCAACGTAGTCCAGCACATCCTCGTCTGAGGCATAACCCGCACCAAACTCACTTCTCACCGCCTCGTCTTCTTCGTCCTCGACATATGCCTTGTATGTCAGCCGAAGTAGAACTTCCCCAGCCTCTCGTTTCCCAAACAAACCCCATCCTCCATATAAAGTCACGATTTTGTCCGTAGGTACTGTATCTTTAAGTGACCCTAGCTCAACCTGACAAAAATACTATCAGAAACCCCAATCCCCAACTTAACAAAACATGCCCAAGATGACAGGGAAAACCAAACCCATTCACCTGTCTTCCATCTATGCATGTTGGACACAGTCGTATATCAAATATAAATGGGCATGCATTGCAAAAAGGAAACCTTCTGCACACACTCAAATTTACCTCTCCAGTGCCAATAGTGATGTCAGTTAGACCAATTGAATCCTTCACTTGAATGGTCAACTTCTGTTTGCGGGGATTTGCGACAAGCATATGGAAATCCTGTTTGATGTTGTATCTATAAGCATGATAGTGTGCATGAAATAAGTCTTCAGAAAACACACATGTGTTCAGAGTGTTGAAACTTTACTTGATTCCAAATTGGTTCTCCCGGTAGTCCAATCACAGTTGTTTGACTGTTCTTCTTGCTCTTTATCACTTGATCACCAAGAATCATGACAACATGAGGATCCGTCTTGCCTGCACGAGAAGTATAACGTCAAGTTCGACATGAAACTGGTCGCATATCAAAAGGAGTGGACTTTTCTTACTTCTACTTTTTCCAGCTTATACAGATATTTTTATCGAACACCAAATACTATCGCATAATTTTGGCTGAACTAAGAGCGAGCATACTTCAGGGTAGTATCACCCAGCTATGTGCTTCTTTCAGTCGAGATATTAACCCTTCAACCAATTCCTTAGCAAATATAGCTCAGCTAAAAAAACTGTGCTACTTTGGACAGGATTAAAACTAATCTTGCCAAGCCTAGAAAATATGGAAGTCATTTTACGTTGGACCCAAATTTGTTAGGCCTACTGTACTCTACTTTTGGACTTCATTTACCGAAAGGAAAATTTTCATTTACAGCATTTTCTTACTTAATACAAGTATACAACAATTGATGAACTGGATCTCGGCTCTTAACTACTCCGTCCAGTCACAAACAAATGGCATTTTTGGGTTGTCTGAAGTCAGCCATTCCAGACTTTGGTTACAAAATGTTTTTATATGTTGGGTTTAGATATTAAAAAATGATATGAGTAGATTTGTATAAAAAAGTTCCATAATTGCATATTTTTGCAATATGTTTCAAATATATTATAACAAAAGTTAGCGGTCAAAGTTGTGTCCTGGAAACAGTGTCGCTGTGGCCAAGACGTCATTTATTTGTGACTGGAGGGAGTAATAAGCAGATGCTAAATCTCTTCATGAATCGTAGAATTCAATTGGCAAACAAAGACCTCTTACCAAATAAGACAAAGCTAAGCTTCCTGGCATCAACTAATGTCACCGATAGCTCTCCAACAAAGTCCTGATTCCCCTCTTGGATCAGGTCACTTGCAACATTTTGAATTATATCACTTGCAACACTTCCTGAAACAGGTCCCATAGCTCTCCCCTGTTGAAAATCAAGGACAATCTTTTTGGGCCGCACAAAGAGACGTGGCAAATCTTCTGTCAGAAGTTCTGTGAGAAACCTGGTGATTGTAATTTATCAGGTTGTGGCTAGCTGTGAACAAGACCTTTCTATGTGAAATACAAGCAAACAAAATTGTTCAATAAAGAGCTGTTCCAAAGAACATTGCATTTAGGAACAATCGCGGACTTCCTGATACATGATACAAACAAAATACTGAAATATTATCTACATCACATGTATATCAGTTAACTACATTAAAGTTGTAGGCAGGCATGCAGTTTTATATGAACTAGATGTTTTAACCATAAATCCTGAGATATTTCAAGGAATCCGCGAGTCGTATTCACTAAAGGACTAGGTGATATCCAATTAAGCAACAAAGCATGACCAGGAATAACCATGTTAGTTTAATAGCTTGTGTAAAATTTAACAAACTATAAGGCTAGCACATACTATAACATTTAATTATCATCCAAAACTTAGATTAATGAGGATCAAAGATGGGAACAGGTGTAACAACAATAATCTTATCATTACAAAAAATAACCTAAATAGCAAATGTAATGAGAATAAATGCACCAACAGTAATTGCAAGTTGTAGGGAACATTTGATTACTAAGAATAAATTATTGTACAAGACAGACATGCTTACATAGACAGAACAGGAATCGCTGGTGGAGATAAGCACCATGTCCATGCAAAAGATGTGAGCATATTGTTAGCCAAGCATCAAATTTGTAACTCATGATGCTGTAGAAATATCAGAGAAAAGAAAGAACAGAAAAGGTCCGCAGTCAGAAACAAACAATGAACAACACCTACTAGCTACTACATACGAAACTGAATGTTGCCCAAAAAAGTCAATTTGAATTTGGGTATTGGATTTGTGTCTCATCAACAAGCTGATTGTGTTCGAGAGTGGCTATTGAATTTGGAAAGTGATCCTTCTGGGGTAAAGGATTGCAGGTTTCTGACTTCTACAAGGAGTCTACCAGCCATCCAAATACTAGAAAAATGGAGGATATATGTTACAATTCCATTCATTAGTTAAAAACTATGTGACCATAATGACATGTAAATAACAGTAATGGAACCTATGTGATATTTCCATGACCAATTGCTAACAAGTATATGGTGTTTTACAAAAAACTGCCTATAAACATGAAACATCCGATAGTATCCCAGAAATAGCTCCAGACCTACGTGCAGAACAAGTATATGGTGGTTTACAAATTACAAGGACACATCTATAAATAACAGCCTACCAAAGCCACGCATCTTAAGCAAGAAAATCAATAGTCAAAATTCCTTAAGTACATTCAGCTACAAGGTGCCCCAACCGTGCTCAGTTTCCAACATCAGGGGCGATGAAATTAGTTGCAACTGGAAATGTCAAAAGTTTGGAGAAGCAGGTGTGTACCCATAAGATTGAATAGCCGGAACAGTGAAAGCTCAAACTTAATCTTGGGAAGAGACACAAAAGCCCAAGATACAGCTCCCACCCACGGTTCTGTTGGTATGAGCCTCAGTTTAACCCACAACTCCCCATCGATATCAAAATCTCGAACCCAGACCGGCACGACGACAGGTACTTTGGTAAACTTCAAGGAGAGTGCCAATGCCATGCGTGCTCCACCGGCATAGCGAATGCCAATCTGGTACCTGGATGGAACACATAATTAATGGATTTGATGGGTGGAACCAATAGCTAGCTGATCCATTGGAGAGAAGAGAAGATACTAGTAATAGTAATGAACAGCATTACTACTACTACTATACTAGGTGGTGGGGAAGGGAACTGACTGCAGGTCGTTGGCCCGCCTTGAGGTGCAGCGCTCGACGTTCCTGACGGAGAGGGGCTCCTCGCCGAGGTAGAACTGCCTGATCTCGACCCTGTTGACGTAATCGGGCTTCTGGAGGTTGTCGATGACGGGCTGGAGCAGGCCGACGATCCAGTTCTCGATGCCGGTGCGGTAGACCTTCCAGAGCTTGCCGAGCACCATGTTGACCCACTCGACGGACTCCTTGCGCTGCAGGTCCTTCTCCTCGAGGAAGAGGGAGAAGCTCGGGGTGGGCACCTGCGGCCAGGAGCCGTTGACCTTGAGCTCGCGCTCGGCGCGGCGGCGCTTGCGCAGCGTCCAGAGCTTGTCGAAGGCGGCGCCGACGAAGAAGAAGAGGGCGAAGAGGCCGACGACGGAGCGGCTGACGGGGGGCGCCGGGAGCGGGTGGATGACGCCGAGCTGGGTGCGGAGCTTGGAGACGAGCGGGTCCTCCCCTCCCTGGTAGGTCCCCGCGGCCGTGACCGAGAAGGGCGCCGCGGCGGCGGCGGAGGAGGTGGAGGTGGAGGGGGCCGGGGCGGGGGCCTCGGGCGGGAGGCTGGTGGCGGGGACCGGCGCCGAGCGCTTGGGGGGAACGGCGGCGGCTCGGGGGACGGGAAGGCGTCGGCATCGTCGGAGAGGGCGGAGGAGGGAGTAGGACGTGGAGGGGCTACTAGCTGCGGAGAAGGAGGGCGGCGAGATGCCGGCCGAGGGGGTCAGCATCGGGGTCCAAACCCCGACATCCGGCGAGGACGCCTGGGGTGGGGTGCGGTGGTGGGCTCGCCGGAAAGGACTCCCACCCCCTCGAAGCAGCAGCGAATGCACCACCACCACCACCAGAGACCCACCCAGTCGGCCAGTCCACCACACGGCCACACCGGACCGGACGAGGTGGCGCGGCTCCTCCCACCAGTTCGGGGTGGGGCCATGGACCCTCACTTTTTTTTTCGGACACTAATGGGCCCTCACTTTTTCCACCAGTTCGTTCGTTCGTTCCCTTCTTTCTTTCTTTCTTATTGGGCTTGATTTTGTAAGTAAGTAGTATAAACAAGCCCATCAAAAGGCCCAATCAAATCAACCCAGCTCTGCCATACATGATTTTCCAGCCCTAGAGAAGATAGATAGAATAGAATAATTCTAAATAAATAGGGTGAACAGCCATTTAGACGAACGGTAGGCAAGAGAGACAGCGACAAATCAATGTCAGCCTTTGGATGTGTTTGATCAGATGTAATGTAACCTGCGGGATGTGTAACACGTAATTTACAGATGCAAGGGTTCATGATGTTTGGGGGCTCGCATCGTGATTGGGTCGATCTTGATTTGACCAATTAATACTTTATAGTTTATTAGATAGAAAAGGCGAGATATAGATATAATAACTTTATTTTTTATATTATTCCAATTTGATCATTACACACATGTAGTTCCTGGTGATCAATACTCGCAGCAGCAACATTTTAGGACGCCAAGCAAGGTGAAGCAATCTACTGTAAAATTGGTGTATCCCAACGAGACACATAGCTGGTGGCACTTGTCAAGGGTGCATCCTTGGAGCTTATTGCAATCCGCTGCAACATGTGAAAAGAAATGATCAAAGTTAACTCATGCTGACCCCATGTAAAACGATAAGAACAAAGTACTAGTTAAACTACCTATAATTGCTTGTCCGTGTCCTTGAACGAAGTTGAGCGACAGGACCAATGCTATAATCGTAGTGACCACCACCAAGAGAGGCATCGCTGCATCATTGGTTTTGACAAGAGCCATCAGATGAGAGACCTTGTTCTAAATCTAACGATACGATTTCTCTTATCTTATGGCTTGGTTTGGATGTGATGCTTCCTTTTCCAAGCTTATATAGAGGTAGATGGATGAAGCAAACGTGGCTAATAATTAATTAGTGATGTCACGCTTCTCTCTGTTTAGGAGATATCTTTAACACCCCGTTTGGATGTAGATATTGGGCCTTTGGATTTGGTATTGGTATTATAAACCTACCAATTCCACTGTTTGGATGGCTAAGAATTTGAAATTGGAATTCCAACCCAATACCAATTGGTATTGGCTATACCTGCGCCTTTGCAGGGTCGAGATGGCGGACTAGAGGGGGGGGTGAATAGTCATTTCTAAAATTTAATCGCGCTGGCTAACCGAAACAAGTGCGTAATTAAAACTATCGGTATAGCCAAGACTACACCCCTCTATCTATATTCTCTAGCACCTTGCAAAGATCCTAATTAAGCAACTAAGGTGCCAAGCTAGCTAGAGCTCACCTATCCAATTCTAGAAGCAAGGTCACACAAACCTATATCACTAGTATTTTGCACACCGGAGAGCACCTACACAATTCTAGTAAGCAAAAGCACAAAGCTCCTAAGCTCACTAGCAATGCTTAATAACAAGGCAACCAATGTCAAATTAGAGAGCTCAAATACTTAGTTACACAAACTAAGTGATGTGACTAACAAGGTTACATAAACCAAATTAGCCACACAAGTGAGTTACTTCTATGCTACACAAGCAAGAAGATAACTAGTGAGCTACACAAGCTAACTAATTACAAAAGCAACTACACAAGCACAATGTATATGAAAGTAATTACAAGCTTGTGTAAGAGGATTGCAAACCAACGAAAAGAATAATGTTGACACAGTGATTTTTCTCCCAAAGTTCATGTGCTTGCCAACACGCTACGTCCCCATCGAGATAAGATCCAAGGTTGTCGCCGGTCCTCTTGCTAGTGGTGACCCGCAAGTCACACTCTCCCACGTGGAGTGCTTACCACAAGCTCTAGCGCTTGACTCGGACGGACCACTTGTTGTCCTTCGTGTCTCGCTCTACTAGAGTTGCTCTTCGCGGCTCTCGCTGGGTGAGCACAATCCCCCTCACAATCACTTCTCCAGAGCACCACACAATATTCTTTGCGTGCTTCAATGAAGACCACCACCAAGCCATCTAGGAGGTGGCAACCTCCAAGAGTAACAAGCACCACCGGTTTGCAAGACGACCACCTAGTGCCACTCAACCTCACGATGCAATCGCACTAGAATCGCTCACTCACTTAATCGGATGAACACTATCAAGCAAGAGTGAATTAGAGGGATCCCAAGCACCACCACACAAAGCCACCAAGGCTCTAGTGTGCTCAGCTCTCCATAGCTCACAACCAAAGGCCGACCAACACTTCTATTTATAGCCCCATGGGCTAAAATAGCCGTTACCCCTTCACTGGATAGATTTCGGGACGACCGGACACGTCGGTCAGATCGACCGAACACACCCTGCCAGCGTCCGGTCAATGGATGGCTGCCACGTCATATCTGGCTTCAAATGTTGAGCGTCCGATCTCAATGGTTAAGTTGCGACCGGACACACTGCTCAAAGTGACCGGACGCTCCACCACTAGAGTCTAGTCGTTTCCAGTAAGCTACCAGAGCTGATTTTTCTTGACCGGACGTAGGAGGGCCAGCGTCCGGTCGAGTCCAGAGAGCTCCCAGAGCCGCTCAACCGCAACCGGACATGTCCGCTCCTACACGACCGGACGCAGACCAGCGTCCGATCAGCTCTACGCCTACGCACCAACTCTAGCGCCGCCTACATCATCGTACATCACCAATGACCGACCGCACGCAGCCTTGCGTGTCCGATCACTTTTACTGTACAGCGTCCGATCACTTGATCGAGACCGCGCCCAATTGCTGCCATTGACTGGTTGTGCCGGTGCCTGCCGAGGCCAGCGTCCGGTCACTCACAGTGGCCTCCTTTCGCCTCCTTTTCTTCACCGAGTTGATCTGTTTCAACTCCAATTCCTTCTCCTTTGCAAATGTGCCAACACCACCATGTGTATGTGTGTTAGCATTTTTACAATCATTTTTCAAAGGATTAGCCACTCAACTTGCCACGCCACTCGATCCTAGCAACGATGCAAAGTTAGATCACTCGAGTGGCACTAGATGATCGATATATAAACAAGTTTGCCCCTCTTGATAGTACGGCCATCTATCCTAAACCCGGTCATAAACTTCTCTACACACCTATGACCGGTGAAATGAAATGCCATAGGTTATACCTTTGTCCTTGCGTATTCCATTCCATCTCCTCCATTGTTGATGCAACACATGCACCAACCAATCACCAAATGATATGATCAACTTCATATCATCACGTGACCGTATTGGTTCATCGATCTTGACTTCACTTCCTTTTCACCTGTTGCCTTCGTCCATCGGTGCCAAGTCTTGCTCAAGCCTCACCGCCACGTGGTTCGTCGCTCCAAAGCCTCTAACTTGCCCTTCACGCTTGCAACCTAGTCCGTCAAGCCAAGTCATATCTTGATCTTCTCCACATTGGTCACATGACTCCATGTCATGTCTCATATGCAATAAGCTCCTTCATCATCACATGTGTGAGCTTTACAACATCTCCGAGCCATTTTCACCTCCATGGCATATGTTGCTCACACACATGTACCTATGGACTAATCACCTGTGTAGCTCACATAAACATAATTAGTCCACCTAGGGTTGTCACTCAATTACCAAAACCAAACAAGGACCTTTTAGCCTCATCATCTCCAATACCGAGCCCGAGGCCTTCGTATTGTGCGGCATTTAGAAACACCCCGACGCACGGAAGCCCCGACGCCCCCGATACGCCCGACACACGGACCACGGAGGCCCCTAACTCCTTCCCCGACGCCTACCAACGCATAGGGGCCCGACACGGAGGGCGCCCTCGCTGCGCCGCTACTCCCCGGCGCCCCGATGCACGCAACCCTAACGCCAGTGACCCCGATGTGTCGGCCACTCCCCGATGCGCCGCTTCTTCCCCAACGCCGACGCGATCCTTCTTCTCCATGGCTGGCGCTGCCTCTTTTAGTCCATGGCCGGCGCTGCCTATTCTAGTCCATGGACGGCTAGGCCCTTCTTCTCCATGGCAGGCGTGCCTCTTCTTCTCCTTGCCATGGCCCACCGAGATCCGCCCCCATGGCCGGGGTTGAGCTCCCCCATGGCCACGGCTACCGAGATCCCACCGCCTGGCTGGGATCGAGCTCCCCCATGGCAGCGGCTGCCGAGCCTGAGATCTACCCGCCATGGCCGTGGTCGAGCTCACGCTACAGTGGCCCGCCGTGGTGGCCACTACCAACCTCTGTCCACCATGGCCAGTATCAAGCTACCTAGCATTTCAATTCCATGCTTTTGCATCCAAATAGGAAACAGATTTGAGCTACTTGCTAGGATTCCAAAACCCAATTCAATGGTCATCCAAACAATAATATTCGAACTGTGGCCATTTCAACACCATGGCTGCTTTGGTATTGAACCCAATTCAATTCCAGCCCCTCCAATATCTACATCCAAACGGACACTAATTGGCCGCTATTAATTTGATCCCGTACAACACTGCTTTATATATTGGCAACTAATTAACTATTGTGTGATATTTGTGTGAATTAAGCCGACTATTAATATTCCCTCCATTTCATATTACTTACCATTGTAGCATTCAAATTTTTCTATAAAAATATTTGTCATTCACACATTCTAAAACACTGCACCCTTCATCAATGTAGTCACATGGCTTCTTTAATTTGAAAAGAAAAACATTATGATCTTATCTTATTATTAATAATAATAATTATAGGCTCCAATGGAGCCTCCAAGTTAATTATCACTAGACATGTTAGAAAAAAGGACCCGAACTGTTTACATATCTGTTGA